AGGCCCCAGCTCACTGCCCAGGAGCCAACAAGCAGTAAGCCAAGCTGCTGTCTCCCAGGCCTTTGGGAAGGAAAGAACAGTAGTCCCTCCAAGGTACTTCCCAAAAAGCCACAGCCCAGGCCAGCTTTGTCCCCCTTCTTCACTCCTAGTATCCTAGCCTAATTCCCAGGACCCCTATGAGCCCTCATCTGGGCTGACAGGCCATGAGTTCCAGCTGACCTGGTGCTTGAACAGCGATACATACGCCTGGGCTCCCTCCTCACTGTGTGGGTCAGGCATCAGACAGTAGTCCCGCAGACAGGTCACCCACTTGACCGGTGAGTGCATCGAGGTGTACTGGCGAACACGGATGCTCAAAAAGGCTGTGTAGTAATTCTTAAACGTGATCTCCTGCAACTAGAGCACACACAACCCACCATGACAAATCAGACCCAGGCCCGGGCCCAGGGCCTGAGAGGCTCAAAGGCATCATCTTGTCCCCCGCTTAGGAATGTTTTCTTCTATCAATCTAACAAACATCCTCTGGGGCCCAAAGACAATTTTGCTTTCCTAGAGGAGCTCACAGTCACATAAACCACAACCACTGATCTTGCCACATGCCCAGGACGTTGCCAGAGGTCAGAGCCCTAACTCTAGAGGAGACAGAAAATGGACAGATGAGGCCTGAAGGGGAAAGAGTTCACCAAGTGTACCAAGAGAAGAAAGGTAGAGAATATAAAAGTAGCATATAACATTGAGTAATTCAACCACTGGACACTTCTTAGAATCACCTAAGGAAGATCTAAAAAAATATATAGATGTACAGGCTCCGCCCCAGACCCACTGAATCGGGATTTCAAGGGTTCTTTAATGAAGTTTCCCAGCATATAGTAAGGAACAACTTGGGGAAGAACCACACTCTACAGGACAAAGTGCATGGGGCTGAGAGGCAGGCAGGGCACAAACACAGAGTGGCCCTGAATGCCAGGCCATCAGAAAGTGGCCTTTGTCCTTTGTGTTGAGGTCCTGCAGTGTCCAGCCACTCTGCCAGCTGATATGGAAGTGCAACTGGAGATTGAAAATGAGCCATTGGGAGGATCCTGATGTGGGATGAGTTGCACCTGACCTGTAACAGAGACTGTAGGAAGGAGCAGGAGGCAAGTTTTGTGGTAGCTTACTGTGTAATGATCCCCAGCCAGTGGCCAGGAACAAAATGACCTCTCACTATATTTGGTTCACAACTGTATTTCCAGCATCTAGCCTACTAGCTTGGCACTCCCCTGCCAGCGCTGCGCTGGACATGGGGGAGAGATGGTGTAGAGCACAGGACGAGAAACTGCATCCTAGTAAATATGTGTTAACTGAAGGAATAAATAAATGGTTAACTGATTCGCATGGGCGAGGCCAGTACTTGAGGCTTTTTAAAAAGATTCAACGCCGGGGACACGCCCGGGTTCCCAGGTCAGCCCCGCCCAGGAGCCCCGGTCGCGCCCACGGGGCTTGCTCACCTCAAAGGGCGCGACGCTGGGGAAGGTGACATCGATAACCAGCACGCCAGGACGGCCTTGGGAGGTCCGCACATCGCCCACTTGCAGGGCCACGGTGCCCTTCACATGGCAGGGCACCAACACCCGGGACATGGTACCAGAGGCCAGGAGCGAGCACAGACGCGGATCCTGGCCTCGGACCACTGGTCTTTCCCGGCGTCCCCAGCCCAGCCCCAAGAACTACAACTCCCGGGAGGATTCGTGCTTTGCCAGCCCAGCCAATCACTAATACTCAGGGCGGCCGGGAGTCGGAAGTGCCTGCGGAAGTGCTCCTTCAGCCAATCACCGCGCGAGCCTAAGAAAACCATCCCGGACCTTACCCAGAGACGGCCCAGTGGTTCTGTAGCTAAGCCGTACTGTAACTAAACGGTCTTGGGCACTTTCCGCTCCCTCAGTTTCCCTTTGTTACACCATCTGTACGGGGAGGCCGTCAGTAAAAGTGTGTAAAACCATGAGAACGAATGAATATAAGTGGACGACATTAATTGCAAAAGTAGATTTTTTTTTTAACAAGGGAAGGGTTTGAACAGATAACTCACAAGAGATAAATAGCATAAGTCCACGAGAAATGCTTAACATGATTATTAGTCATGGAAATACAAATTAGAATGCCCACCCAGCCACCAAAAAAAAGCTAAATAAAATTAAAGACTGGCAATGATGTGGAGTGCCTGTAAGCATCACCCAATTACTCATTTTCTGACTTTTCTGGCCACATTGAAAAAGTTTGGTGGTTCTTTAAAAACGAAATTTATACCTACATTATGGTCCAGCCATTGTACTCCTCTAAGTATTTGCCCAAGAAAGATGAAAGCATACGTCCACCCAAGGCTTTATTCATAATAGCCAAAAATTGGAAATAATTCAAATGTCCAATACATGAGCAGATAAACTAACTTGGTATATCAATACAATGGATTACTACTCAACAATAAAAAATTAACAAATCCAAGTGTTGGGCCAGCTGAGTGGCGCACTGGTTAAGAGTTAGCTTGGGATGCCAGAGGGCCCCGGTTCGGATCCCACATATGAGGGCCAGTGACACTGCCCTNCACACACACACACACACACACACACACACACACACACACACACACACACACGGCCAGTACTCCCTGAGCACAGGACTACGGTCATTATCCTCTTAGCAAAAGCTGAATGGAGCGAAGTAAATGACCCGGCAGGGAGAGATGCCACCTGCCAGAACACTGACAGGTGAGAGCAGAGGGCTGACCTTCCCCCAGAAAGTTGTCGAGCCACACAAACGTCCTATTTTCCAGGTCCAACACATGTTGCAGTACTATCTCATAATAGCCCCGAGGGGCAAAGTCAGGAAACACCAGAGAAGAGCAGGATTTTCCCATCAGAGTAATCTACCTTATTCAGCAGCTGACCTGGGGATGTAGAGGAACTTAGCCTCTTAAAAGATACCAGGGAGAACCCTCACCTGGACCCACCCCCCCACCATGATCCCTCACCACACTGAGCATGACTTTTGGAAGGGAGCACCAGGGAGAAGGGACAAGGATGTGCTTTGGGCTGTGTCAGGTGGCAAACAGGTTTCAGGACTCACTCTCGGGCCCCAGCCTTGACAGAGGCACCTACCCAGGATGCATCGGGCAGACCCATTCAGGTGCCAGCTCCGAGACCCAGGGACTTGGGCATCCCAAATCCCCAGCTTTGCTCCCTAGGAAGCAAGCAGGAGTTGAGACAGGAAATTTCTTTTTCCATGCATAACACAAAGGGAAAGACCACTAGGGGGCGCAGAAGGAAGAAATGGGCTCCTGTTTCTCCCTCAAGTTTCCAAGCTACAAGAGTGCCATGGCTACAGCAGCCTTCCAAGGCTAGATAGCTAGAGCAGGCTCTAGTAGATCACCCCCGCCCACTGCACTCAGGTGAGGGAGCAAGCAGAAGACAGGAGTGTGCATGTCAGCAGGAGGACAGAGGGCACATGGGGAGTCTTAATAAATAAAACTGGAGAGTTTTTAGGGTAGGAAAAGGAGGAGTATTGGGTTGCAGTCAGGTGAGGACAATGTACTCCCACTGGGAGCTCATGCTGAAGAAACACAGTGAGCCCGAGCCCCCAGGAATCCTGAATCTGTGAATGTGGCCCAGACAGAACAGGCATGCAGGCAACATTTGGAATGCACAGGGAAAGCACTTCAGCCTCTGATGGCCCAAACCAGGCCTAGATGGGCACGGAAGGTCCACGTCTTGGTTAAGAGCCACAGCTCAAGTATAGGAGAGCAAGTTCAGGTCATAACAGCCATCCACCTGCAACACAAAAGACCATCAAATCTGACCCGCTCAGGGCGATGGGAGCCCAACAGAGGGAAGTGATCACTCACATCAAAGCGGCCGATCCTTGTGGAGGTGTGACTGGCCCGGATCATCTCCGTCAGCGCCCACATCTGCTGCACCTCGGAGGATACGCTGCTGGGGTTTGGGAGACCCTGCTCGAGAAGGAAGCATCAGTGGCTATGGGTCTTTCCGAAGCAGTGCCCTCAGAGCTCCACAGAAGCCAAGTTGGGCTATGGAGCCCTACAGCTGAAACCAGTAACACTCCCAGATGACTTGTGAAACATGAGGTTGGGGCCTGCTGTGCAGTAAGTGGCCCAGGCCCACAGAGAGATGCCTCAAACCCCATGGAACACCCAGGAGAAAGATGGCAGAGTAAACCAAGGGCCCTGGGTCCAGCCCCAGATTCTTGCAAATAGGGGCCCACCTGGGCCTGCGCTAGACATGGGAGCTATCCATCCGTAGTTCTTACCCAGGGTGAGGGCTTACCTCAAGGAGGGGAGCGGGCTGCTCACAAGGCACTGGGTGGGACAGCCACTTGGGAAAGGTCATGGAGGGGCTCTGCAAAGCAAAGGCATACTGCCCTGAGAGGGGCAGAGGAAGAGAGCCCTGGGACCAGATTCCAAGGTCCTGGGAGCAGAGAGAAGGGCCGCTGAGCCTCGGACACCAGGGAAATCCTGTTCAGGGGTCCACAGAGGCCCAAGAGGCAGTCAGACTACCTAAGCTCTTCTGCTATGCAGAAGGAGGCCCTGGGAACACAAGGAAGAGAAGTATCTCCAGGCACCTAAGGGCTCCAGCTCTGAAACAGGCAGGTGGCCCCAAAGGTCAGGGGATAGAGGGACATGGCGTCACCTCGCATCATG